GATCTCAATGACTACTTATGTAGAAGTGGTGCGAAATTATGCATTTTTCATTATAAAGTTTCAATGTTTGACAAAATACAGGCTTTGATCACTTATTAATGAATCCGTCATCTATTTGTATGACTTTTTAGCCCCAGTTGTGACACAAATACTTAAAAAGACTAGAAAAAATTGCAATAGATTTTGATTTTGAGAATTTGCAAATACAACTAAATATAACCCCATAACTAATTGAGGCCTAAATGTAGTGACAAATTGGTGAATTGTGAGCACATTTAAAGCGAGACTTACTTCACATTTATAACAACTGACGTGAAAACTGCGATCCAATGCCACGACTCTGACGGTCTCTGTCTTTCCCGGTTCGGGAACTATGGGTTCTCTGCAAACACAACATCTCGGAGCGAATTTCCTGCAATACATTCACAATACATATGAATGACAAACATTTATAGAGAATTTATATAAACAAATCAAAATACAATACTATAACGTAAACAATAAGCACTCACTTATGGAAGTCGTCGATGCAATGAATTTGGTTCGTGGCGTCGACTGTGAATGGGATCCCATCTAAACTTTTGCTACAAACAACACAAGTGAAACAGTTTGGGTGATAAGGCTTTCCAGTGGCCCGGAGTATGCGATCCAGAATAGGCTTCTCACATACACAACACTTTTCTAATGTATTCTGATATGTGATATAATTGTCACAAATGAGTGTTTATCCAAACAATTAGCACTAAATTCTATAAGACTTACCAAATAGTCGTCCTCGCAGTAAGGCTTACCATCCATCGCATAGAAAGGTTTTCCTCTTAACTCGATGTCTAAAAAAATTAATCGATAGTTAATATCAGGATTTTCGTGACATTTTGAATGTCATATATTGTAGACAAGCATAACATTGGAGATGTTATTATATTTATAGAATTTATCTTTTTGTTAAACTAATGTTTTCTCTTATTTTTTGAGAAATATATTTAGAAATGAAAAGAATTGAAGGATTCTTACGACAGATATGACAAGTGAAGCACTGGATGTGATATACTTTCTCCATAGCTGTACAGCCACTGCCTTCGCCCAACACTTTTTCCCCGCATTTATGGCACATACCTGTCAATGCAATTGATTTAGACATTATATCAACATTATAAAACAATTCAATATCTACACAATACAAATAATTATAACAAAATATGAGGCCTGGGAGGCCAGTGGTCACCTATAATCGGTGATTCTCCTCCTGAAGACATTGGAAGCAAAAGTAGAAAAAAAGCAAAAGTTTTTAAGTAAAGATTTGCAAATAATGCAAAGAATTTTAAGCCAAATATATATGAATTTTTCGCAAATATAATGGCTTTAAGACAAGAGCCGAGTCGTGAAGAAATGCAATGAAACGCAAGAATTTTATGTATTTATAGTTTGCACACAGAATACAATACAATTGAATAAAATATACAGTAGTTATAGTACATTAAGAAAAGGCTAAAAGTTATATACAATTTTCACGCGATATCAATGATATAAGAGCTGAGCCGTGAGGGCTGTCGTTGTGTTCAAGTGACATAACTGAATGACATATCAAATGATATGATATTTGTTTTCTATTATTAAATTATTGAATATAAATTCCACAAACAGTAAGAATTATAATTATTAGATATACAGTAAGAATTGATAAATATTATCAGTTTATGTCAAAAGTGATTAGGAGTTGTAAAACATAATTTCGAAA